GTCAGGGTTGGGCTGTGCCAGGTCTGCAAGGACATGATATAACAATACACTCCAGACTGGTTCCTCGTTAACTGTCGTGGTCAACTGTCAACTGTCGACGTCATCTGTCAACTGTCATGGTCATCTGTCAACGGTCGTGGTCACCTGTCAACTGTCATGGTCAACTCTCGTGGTCAACTTTCTTGGTCAACTGTCGTGGTCAGCTGTCGACTGCCATGGTCGTCTTTCAACTGTCTTGGTCAACTGCCGTGGTCGGCTGTCAGCTGTCATGGTCAACTGTCAACTGTCAACTGTCATGGCCAATTATCAGCTGTCGTGGTCATCTGTGAACTGTCGTGGTCAACTTTCTTGGTCAACTGTCAACTGCCATGGTCATCTTTCAACTGCCTTGGTCAACTGCCGTGGTCGGCTCTCAGCTGTCGTGGTCAACTGTCAACTGTCGTGGCCAATTATCAGCTGTCGTGGTCACCTGTCAACGGTCGTGGTCATCTGTGAACTGTCGTGGTCAGCTGCTGTGTCAACTGTTGTAGTCGACTGTCAATGTCTGTCATGGTCATCTGTCAACTGTCTAGGTCAACTGCTGTGGTCAAATGTTGTGGTCAACTGTCAACTGCCGCGGTCAACTGTGAACTGTCGTGGTCAACTTTTGTGGTCAACTGTCGTGGTCAACTGTTGTGGTCAACTGTCAACTGCCGCGGTCAACTGTGAACTGTCGTGGTCAAATGTTGTGGTCAACTGTCAACTGCCACGGTCAACTGTTGTGGTCAAATGTTGTGGTCAACAGTCGTGGGCAACTGTCATGGTCAACTGTCGTGGTCAACTGCTGCTCAGTTTGTAGCTGCCTGCGACTGCACAAACTTCCTGTCAAAAGTCAAAGTCAAACTTCCATCGAACCAGAAGGCCAGAAAATACTATGCCCAGGCCAGACTGGGTCAAAGTCAAATTCCATCAAACCGAAAGGCCAAAAAAGGTTGAAAAAACTGTGCTGCTGGATTCTCCTTCGGACCATCCGTCAAGATTGAAATGATACAGAGAAGATTAGCACGACCGCTGTGCAAGGACGACGGGCATAAGTTGAGATATCGTCCAAAATTCCAAATTATTAAAAAAGGGAAAAATAAATAAATAAATAAAATTGCTGGTTTTTAAAACTTTGTATGCCTGGTCTCCTCTTCAGGTCCCAGTCCTGGTAGACTGGGTCAGCACCCAGTGCAGACCACTCGTGTCTGCTCTTGTCCATGCGCATGTCCGATCGTACTTCAGGTCATTTGGGTTTAGCGTCGTCATGGTCCAGAGTGGTGTGCACTGACTGAACCAGGGTTGAGCATGGTCGCGGGAAAATTCATGAGCGTCTGTTGTCCAACTTCAGTTCCAGGTGCAGTGAATGAACCTGCTGCTCAACCATCTCAGCAGGTCTTTCTTTTTTTTTTTTTTTTTTTTTTTTTTTTTTTTTTTTGTGGGGGGGACCGCATAGAATTTTCCCGCGTTCAGGTCCCAGTCCTGGTAAACTCTGCAGAGCGGGTCCAGTCTGTGCAGGTCCACTGCTCAAGTCCGTAAGCATGTCCCATTACCAGAAAGGCGTCCAGGTGCATTGTGAAGTTAAACAGTTATGTTCTCTGCAGCCCTGCTTCCAAAATCCAGGTCCACAGCCAGGAGGACCTGCTCATGTCAGCAGCATGACTAGTTTCCCTGCACACTTCCCATCCTGCTACAGCTCAGAAGAGTGTGACATCTTCCTGAAAAAATATGCTGCTACTGTCTGGTCTTGTTGCTTGGTCCACTGCCTGGCATCGCGGTATGGTTCCTGTACCTGCTCAACATTTGGTCGACGTTCGACTCCCCCCTGCTTGCCAACCAATTGCACTCTAGTCACTCTACCCGTGCTTGATGTACACTGTGCGACCCACTGCTGCCTAGACACTGATGCGCGCCCAGTCCCAGGAAGTAGACCACACACTGTGAACCTGCCTGGTCCAGTGCCTGGTCCATTTGTGCCTGGTCCATTTGTGCCTGGTCCATTGGTGCCTGGTCCATTGGTGCCTGGTCCATTTGTGCCTGGTCCATTTGTCCCTGGTCCATTTGTTCCTGGTCCATTTGTTCCTGGTGCATGGCCTGGTCCATTTCCATTGTATACTGTGTCTTCCTGCCTTACTTTTTTTCTCATGCCAATGCCTGGCAAAATCACCCTCTTCACTGTCCGTCCACCCACCGTACAGAAGGGTTTATTGCCGTGGTCCACTCAGCATGTATCCATTGCCTGGTCCATTTGTGCCTGGTCCATTGCCTGGTTCATCGCCGGAGCCCTTGCCCGATCCATTGCCAGATTCATTGCCCAATCCAGTGCCAAATTCGTGGCCAGATTCATTGCCAGATTCATTGCCGTATCTACTTCCCGTCTCCCCCCCCCCCCCCCCCCAACCTGTACCACCCACATACTCGTCTCACTCCCTCCACAACCTCTTCTAGTTCAGTAACTCCCCACATGTTCTAGAAGCCCACCTGTTGCGCTTCCCTCCTCCTTTACCCCCAATGTATAACTACCAAAAAGACAGTACTGTTCAGCCTATAGAGATCCAGAGAGCCAAGTCCAGGCACGGGGATGGCCAGCGCATCTGACAGAAATCTTACAACCTGTACATACATGCAGTCGGCTGCATCGAACCCCGCCCCCCTGTGGTCGAACGCGCGCGCACACACACACACACACACACACACACACACACACAC